CAGCTGAGCCGACCACCGCCGCGACCGCACCGCGGACCACAAGCCGTGACCAGAGGGGGTGATAACATCGCGCGCTCGTGGTCCTCTGGCGTAGGGGGGGGGGGGGCGAGTCCCAGAAGCAGCAAACCCCTCCGCAGTGCTGGTGCACCACTCCTGTGTGGCAGAAGACACGCGCCCGTACTCGTGATGGGGAACCAAAACTCGAACAAATGGCGGCGTTGAGCAGAAAGACAAAATGATGAACTTGTTCCTTCATCCGGTTTTCTTCGTCGCGATCCTTACCACAATTCAAAATATATGCACATAAGCTCCCTCGGACCCACACACATCTGGCAATTTACGTAGAATGCTGTACATTTGAATCGAATACTCGGACGCAAGCGCCGGTTACAATCATGATGACACAATACAAGCGAACAGTGAATTAAAAATGAATGCAGAAACCGATCAGACTGGCCAGCACTGGTCTGGTTTGGTCTGATCAGCTCTGGTCTGATCTGGTCCGGTCCGGTCTAGTCCGGTCCGGTCCGGTCCGGTCCCGGTCCGGTCCGGTCCGGTCCGGTCCGGTCCGGTCCGATCTGGTCTGGCTGGCCTGGTCTGGTCAACTCCGGTCTGGTGGTCTAGTCAGACCAGTCAGCTCTGGCCTGTGCCCGACACCCGAGCCTCCCTGATACATGTCGCCGGCGTCACAGATTCTGCCAAACGCCGGCAGATGGCCGTCGGTGGCTGGTCCTGTACGACTTCGGCCCAGCCCAGCTCCGGCCAGCCACCTCAGCTCACTGGCTTCCACTCAGCTGAGGCCCGAACCCGACGCGCCTCCCGACGGCGACCTGCTCGTCTAATCTGCGCTCCGCGGGGCGGCAGGGCATCCGCGTGGTAACGTCCCCTGCTCAGTGTTGGTGATTGGTCTCGGGGGGGGGGGGGGGGGGCAGGGGCGGCAATGCGACAAGCTTAACAAAGCGGTCCCTGCAGCGCCAATTACAGTGGGTATCCTTTCCGCCGAACTGAAAATGGTTGGAGGATGGGGCTCCCCGGGATCAGCACCCCGGAAAAGGACACCATCCAGCCCCTCACCCCCCCCCCCTCACCCACGTGAGCCCCTGCTAACAGCTTTGCCATGAAGAAAACAGACTCATCAGGTATCTGTCATCACTCAACAGTCACGCTCATCCAGAAGTGTTGGCAGCTTGTGCTGCTCCACATCCTTAGTACAAACCGCATAACCACAGGTTGAGACCCAGCCCAAAGGCACGTCCAGAAATCCGAGAAGGTCCAAAGCACAGGTTAATCCGCCGGAGCCTCTATGCCCGACCGCCACAATAGCCGAGGCTCGACTTTTTTGGCGAGCGAGACGCCTAAGCTCCGCGTATTCACTGGACAGGTGCGAGTGAGCTAAAATCGCACCTTGTTTCACCCGAGTTGTCCCAGTCATCAACAGATGTTAAAACCATACACCTAGGCGTGTAATTTGATTGTCGTTCACCTGCAATGCCACATAGCATGAGACTTTAACATTGTCAGTCGCACAAGTCTCAGGTCTGAGAATGTGGCACCAGCCCGAGTGCCACGCCCTACGGCATGTTCACCTTGTCCAGGTCGATCTCGAGGGCGCGGAACCACTTGCCGATGAAGCAGATGACGGGCCTGCCAAAGCGGTCCTTGCCCGTCTGGTACAGGCATCCGATGCCCGAGATCTCCGACAGGTCTTCTGTGCGCGCCCGCCGCAAGAGGCGCTCGTATCTGCAGACGAAATGTTATAGATGGCGCCACTAGTTACCAGGAACAGCTCTACTGCGGCGCCACTGCTTCCCACGAGTTTCGAAGTGGGTCGAAAAACTGATCTGAAAACACTGTCCGGGATACAAGCTTTACCGGCGCCCTAGCCATGATTTCAACCAGAATGAGCCAAATCGGAGCACAGACCATTTCAGCCAAGGAGGCAGGAGACCATTTCACAGACACAGGCACAGGAGACCATTTCACTTGACAGCCACAGGGCACTGCTTTATTTGGGACCTTTATAGACTCGGAACCCATTTGATGTCTCCAGAGCCAATCTATGATGTTTTAGAAGTCCTTCGGATGTATAAAACTGTCAAAAACTACTAAGGCCATCAGCTCTGCGGGGCCCTGCCGCCTCAAGAGGGAGATGGGGAAAGAGACTGATCCCAAAAAGCCCTACCATTGTCGACAACACTTATGCTGTTGCGTTTGAACCTGTATTGATAATTGTAGCGCGTGCACCTACTCGCCATGGGTAAGACAAAATATCTTGAAAAATATCTAGCGAATACGGGACTAAAAGTGGTAGGGCCTGTCGTACACATGCGGGCAAAATAAACACAAAGTTAGAACACAACTCTGTCAAAGCCAACGGGATTATGCCAGCACTCTTTGGAGCGGCCAGCTTGCGTGCGATTCCAGCACGCCTGAGCCAATCATGACCAGCCACGAGACACAGGTCAGCTGGGAACAGCTGTCACATTGTCAACCCCAGCGTTGGCGCGCCTGCTCTGCGGGCGTACCGACCGCCCACAGCACACTGCCGCGTCTTAAAAGAACTGCAGATCGGGACCAGATGCGTCATAGGGGGCGCTCTCCGGCCGCCAAAGCGCCCGAAACAGCGCCCGCAGAGCCCAGTCGGTCGGCTCACCGCTCGCGCTTGCAGAGCTGCTGCGAGATGGCAAAGTTGGAGGCGCTGCCGGCCGGCCCCGTGCCGAGCAGGCGCTGCCGGTCGACGTCGTCCTCCATCTGGGAGAAGTCGCGCAGGTCGGCTGCCAGCCGCGCCGGCAGCTCGCCGCGGTGCTCGCCCGAGTGCTGCAGACCTGCCGCCACCGGGGAGCCGTCAACGAGAGGCGGCACACGGCGGCGCACCGCCGCCAGACGCGTCTCGTGGGTCGGGACGGCGATGGGGAGGCAGCGAGCGGGCGGCGGCGCGACATCCGAAGTCGTCGTTGTCGGCGCGAAACGCTGAGCCCGGCTGACCACCGGGCGTGACCTGAGGGCTCTGAGGGCGCGATCTGAGGGCTCTGAGGGCGTGACCTGAGGGCTCTGAGGGCGTGATCTGAGGGCTCTGAGGGCGTGATCTGAGGGCGCTGAGGGCGTGACCTGAGGGCTCTGAGGGCGTGATCTGAGGGCGTGATCTGAGGGCGTGATCTGAGGGCTCTGAGGGCGTGATCTGAGGGCTCGAGGGCGTGATCTGAGGGCGTGATCTGAGGGCGTGATCTGAGGGCTCTGAGGGCGTGATCTGAGGGCTCTGAGGGCGTGATCTGAGGGCTCTGAGGGCGTGATCTGAGGGCTCTGAGGGCGTGATCTGAGGGCGTGATCTGAGGGCGTGATCTGAGGGCTCTGAGGGCGTGATCTGAGGGCTCTGAGGCGTGATATGAGGGCGTGATCTGAGGGCGTGATCTGAGGGCTCTGAGGGCGTGATCTGAGGGCTCTGAGGGCGTGATCTGAGGGCTCTGAGGGCGTGATCTGAGGGCTCTGAGGGCGTGATCTGAGGGCTCTGAGGGCGTGATCTGAGGGCGTGATCTGAGGGCTCTGAGGGCGTGATCTGAGGGCTCTGAGGGCGTGATCTGAGGGCGTTGATCTGAGGGCTCTGAGGGCGCGATCTGAGGGCTCTGAGGGCGTGATCTGAGGGCTCTGAGGGCGTGATCTGAGGGGGTGGTCGGAGGGCGTAATCTCAGGACGTGATCTGAGGGCGTGGTCTGAGGGGGTGGTCGGAGGGCGTAATCTCAGGACGTGATCTGAGGGCGTGGTCTGAGGGGGTGGTCGGAGGGCGTAATCTCAGGACGTGATCTAACGGCGTGATCTTTCTCACAGGTCGACTGACTAAACCTTCGCTCAGGGCTCCGGCCCCGGCCAGCTGGCTGTTCGCCCGCCCCTGAGCGCACCCCTGCTGCTCCCGCCCCTGGATGCACCCCTGCTGCTCCCGCCCCTGGATGCACCCCTGCTGCTCCCGCCCCTGGGCGCACCCCTGCTGCTCCCGCCCCTGAGCGCACCCCTGCTGCTCCCGCCCCTGGATGCACCCCTGCTGCTCCCGCCCCTGGGCGCACCCCTGCTGCTCCCGCCCCTGGGTGCACCCCCGCTGCTCCCGCCCCTGGGTGCACCCCTGCTGCTCCTGCCCCTGGGCGCACCCTTGCTGCTCCCGCCCCTGGGTGCACCCCCGCTGCTCCCGCCCCTGGGTGCACCCCTGCTGCTCCCGCCCCTGGGTGCACCCCTGCTGCTCCCGCCCCTGGGTGCACCCCTGCTGCTCCCGCCCCTGGATGCACCCCTACTGCTCCCGCCCCTGGGCGCACCCCTGCCGCTCCCGCCCCTGGGTGCACCCCCGCTGCTCCCGCCCCTGGGTGCACCCCTGCTGCTCCCGCCCCTGGGCGCACCCCTGCTGTTCCCGCCCCTGGGCGCACCCCTGCTGTTCCCGCCCCTGGGTGCACCCCGCTGCTCCCGCCCCTGGGTGCACCCCTGCTGCTCCCGCCCCTGGGTGCACCCCTGCTGCTCCCGCCCCTGGGCGCACCCCTGCTGCTCCCGCCCCTAGGCGCACCCCTACTGCTCCCGCCATGCCGAACGGCTCCTCCTGCGCGCCGTGCACACCGCGTCACGCTTTGGTTCCCCACCAGGCCGCTCCGGAGGCCGCGACGTGCCTGCAGCGACGGTGGACGCCTTTCCGCCAGCGCCGGACAGGTGGGAGGCCGGAGCACCACAGCGCCAGGTGGCGCTGGACGGCCGGCTGTCACCGTCCCAACACCGACGCGGCGCTCTGTGTGCTCTCGGGGCAGCTGTCCTAGTGTCCGCGTCGCCAATGACAGAACGAGTGGAAGGGACATTCAAGGCCAGAGCTAGTTCAGTTTGACTTTCAGGATTCGTCATCACCAGTGAATTATCCGTGAGTTACACTAATGCCTATGGGAGCGCCAAGATGAAAATGAGTCCCCGAGTCCAACAAAAGCTGCGCCGGTGTCCGGCCGGAGCTTTTTTCAATTGCCCCTTCTCACTTCGCACATGCCGCCACAAACAGCCACACCGGCCAGCGTTCCTCCCGGCAGAGCGCCCTGCATGTCGACACCCTGGGCCCGTCGGCGGTGGCCGGCCCCGTGACGTCACCAGCCCGGCAGTACCGGGGCCGCCCGGCCTACAGCAGCGGCTCCCTGGACCACGACACAGAGCTGTTCCGCTGGCAGAGCGACTGCCATCGCCCTGAGTTAGGCCACGCGAGGCACCACGTGACCGGCGGGGGCACCCATGGGAGATGGCCTTCGCATCAGGGTGTGCACTGCGCTGCGGCCGATCCAGCCACGTGACCTTTCGAGTCGCTGGGACTGCGGTGGGCGCCGCGCAAGCCCAGCACCGATGCAGAGCACAGAGAGCACGGATGGAGCGCGCGCTGTGACGTGGGACTACGAGACCTGCGGAGGTTGCGCGAGTCTCATAGCTGAACGCTGAGGCGGTTTTGCAGCATGCATGGGAAAAGTCGCCACTGTAAGATCCGGCATCGCAGAGCGACGATAACGGTCTCATGTGGCGACAGTCTCGTGACCTTCAATCCCACCGCGAGATCTCGTCCCTCCTGTTCTTCGTCTCTGGTGAAGACACGACACAGCTCATCCCGCTCGTCATGAGGACGGTGCCGATGACGCGACGGGCCGTGACCTTGGCCTGCGCGGTACGGGGTCCGACGGACGCCAGACACGGCCAGGGTGAGTGGGAGCGACGGGTGATAAGATGGGGTGATAACCACCCACGCCAAGTCCGGATACAGGCCGTTGGAGCGGGCGGCGCAATCACCTTCCCTCCCCCGTCGTTCACCACCGGGACGGTCATTCCGTGCCAAACGTCACCGGTGCGGAGGGTCCCGGTTCGAATCCCGCCCAGGGCACATATTTCAACCCCGCAACAGCCAGTCCCAGAGGCTGCCTCTCTCATGACCACAACGGACGCACTCGGAGGTCAACAATCTGACACGCCTGACCCGTCCCGAGGTGACGAACAGCTCGACGGCGGCGTGTTTGACTAATAACAGCGACGACCAGGGTCAGGAACTGAGAGCTTCAACCGAGCGTATGTGCAGCTTATGCCGACTGTTCGTGCGAAAGAGTCCGTTAGTATTCCGAAGGGCCATCGACTTGAGACGTTAGAAGGGAAGAGTCTCTATTAGCCAAAGAGTTGCAAGGCAAGGGTGAGAGAGGGGCTCGCGGCTCGCGTCGAGCCGCGCCGTCGGAACCTGAACATGGACTGCTCGGCAGGGACCGTGCGTCCCCGCCCGCTTGCCCCCATAAACCCAAGTGGCCCACATATGGGTTCCAGATGGTGGGGACCAATCGGCAGAGGGGCCGTTCACGCCCTCGCGGAGACGCCGCCGCCGCGTCGGCAGCGACGGCCCGTTTGCTCGCTAACACCGACTGTCCTTACTTAACTTAATGCCGGCTAAGCTAAGCTTACTGAATTCACCAGCTGAACCTTCACTTAATAACCCATCCCGGCTGAAACTGGGAGGCGGGGTTGCGTCGCTCCCCAGAGGTCAGGCCCATCGCGCCGCGCGCGCCGACACCGCTGGCTGTTCCCGGGCGGCAGCGGTCGGCGGGGTCGGCGGGGCCGGCGGGGCCCACGCCGGCCGACTGCCGACTGCTCGTTATCCCGCCACCGCGGCGCGTGCCGACACAGCTGCGACGGCCATTAGCGCCGCCTGTTGTCCCGCCGCTCGTGCACGGAATGTGACGGTGCAGTGGGGACGCGCCGCCGGAAATGGCTGCGTGAATTGCGAGCGGGGTGGCCGAGCGGCCTTTGTGGCCTCCGGCGGGGTATGTTCGTGCGCTGACGGCGATGCGATGTGACCTTGACGCCGCATTGTTTACCGGGCGCAGGAACTGCCTAAAGTAACGTGATGGTGGCCTTAAATTGCTGCAGACATGACGAAATCGACCACGCCGGGTGTTGTACTTCAGCAGTGCGAATTTACATTTGAAACGTGTACGTTGTCTGACCGAACCTGCATACAAATATCGACTGGCAAACAGCTGGAGAACCGGCAACACGCCGGAAGAGAAAACTAAAGATGCTGCATTGCAGAAAAAAACATTCCCAGCGGCTTGATAAAAATAGCATAGTCAACTTGACTTATGATGCTTATTTGGAGGATAGCACTGGACAGTAGCATTGCACACCATTGGCTACTCTCTGACACCATAACATGGTTAAAATTTTGCAAGACACTGCCCCAGATATCAGATATGTGACACCTGATACAGATACACGATATGTGACACGACACACTGAATGTGAGAGGCAGCGCCTAAGTATCTCAGTTTCGGAAAAGGGATGTATTTGGGGTTTGATGTAAAGTGCAGGAACATAATTTAACGATTGCGGCCGCATTGTGCCTTATGCCTCGTGCATTGCGCGAGCAAACACATCCATTCGGAGTTAATTTAATGACAATCGGGTCCAAAATCAAACTTATTGGTCTGATATTCTTTTCAACCTAATTGTCAATAAAGGCGAAGTTAACTTGTTTCGCTCACCGATTAGCGCACGCAACATCCAACCCGCCGCGCGACCCAGCCCGTCTTCCAGACGGGGTCCAACTATTTCGGCCGGCAAACTTTTGAGCCACGCTACTTCGCTCCACAAACTTTTTTCCAACTCGGCTGGCAGCTACCGGCAAGTTCTCCCTGACGCAGGGCACGCGCGCTATGTAACACCAAGAAAGGGACGACCGGCTGAGCAACGCTTATAAAGTCGCTCGACAGTTCTCTTCGGCAAAACGTCTCATGAAAGTTCTCTTCTGGGCTGGAGCCACAGCGATTTGTGACGGGTTCCGGGTGTCAGCGGCCCGCTCCCCATGCCTTACACCATGGGCTCCCATCGCAGTCCGCGCAGAACGCATTTCTATGCGAGACCGCACCAAATGCGCACGTTCTCGGCGGCCCGACTGTCGCACCGACGGCGCCGGCGCCAGAGCCGGCGGCCCGACTGTCGCATCGAGGGCGCCGGCGCCGGAGCCGGCGCCTGTGGAATGGACGCGTGCGATGGCCCAATAACCGCCTCCGTCCGACCGCACGGAAGCCTCCAGCTAACCGCAAGGAGACACGGCGGCGGGGGCGGCGGCGGCGGCGGCCCCAGCCTTGAGCGCGGGGTGGCCGGCGGCCCGCGGCGGGTGTCAGGGTCACCCGACGCTCGGAGTCGGCTGACAGCAGCCACTCAGCAGCGGGAGCACGCGCACGCCAGGCCCGCACGCCACCGACGTGCGGGCCTGGACGTCGTGCGTCGCTGCAGGCGACGCACGGCGTCCAGGCCACAGGCTGGCCCCGCGCCACCACAATCGAAGGCGGGCCTCGGTCCCTCACACCCACACCCACAGCAGGGGCCTGGCCATGGGGCCCGGCCCCTGGTATATGGCCGCGCCTCAAAGTAGTCGAGTCCGCGCAAAAACTACCAGCCCGGACGTTTACGACCCCGCAGTGGTAATTACGACCACGCACGCACGCACGTTTACACGCGCCGTATCATTCCCACGGACACGCACAACCGCTCACGTGTGTAAATGCGCGCACGCGCGCGTCGCCGGCCGTCACGTGGGCAGACGGCGGCGAGAGTCCGAGGTCCGTCCGTGTGATCGTGCCGGGCGGCGGCTGAGCGGCGGCCGACCGCGGTCAGGTCCGGCGCGCTCCGAGCACGGAACCCCTCACAGCCGGAGGCGGTTAACAGGGGTCAGCTCACGGCCGGAGGCGGTGAACAGGGGTCAGCTCACGGCCGGAGGCGGTGAAAAGGGGTCAGCTCACGGCCGGAGGCGGTGAACAGGGGTCAGCTCACGGCCGGAGGCGGTGAACAGGGGTCAGCTCACGGCCGGAGGCGGTGAACAGGGGTCAGCCCACGGTCAGAGGCGGTGAACAGGGGTCAGCTCATGGTCAGAGGCGGTGAACAGGGGTCAGCTCACGGCCAGAGGCGGTGAACAGGGGTCAGCCCACGGCCGGAGGCGGTGAACAGGGGTCAGCTCACGGTCAGAGGCGGTGAACAGGGAACCCCTCACGGCCGGAGGCGGTGAACAGGGAACCCCTCACGGCCGGAAGGGCGAACGGGGTTCAACTCACGGTCAGAGGCGGTGAACAGGGAGCCCCTCACGGCCGGAGGCGGTGAACGGGGTTCAGCTCACGGCCAGAGGCGGTGAACAGGGAACCCCTCACGGTCGGAGGCGGTGAACGGGGTTCAGCTCACGGCCAGAGGCGGCGAACAGGGAGCTCCCACGGCCAGAGGCGGTGAACAAAGAAAGGTCAGCCAGGCCAGAAGCGACGAACCAGGGTCCGCTCAAAGCCGGAGCCGGTGAAGGACGACGGTGTCCGACCGACTCTGGGGTCGGACCTCGGTCTCGGGCGGCAGTGACGTCAGCAGTGAGTCAGTCGGCCGACGCGTGCGGACGAGTGCGTCGTCCGGGGTTCACAAACTAGGAGGGTCGCGGCAAGCGACTGTGACACGACGTGCGCGGATTTCTGCCTGTTTGAGGACCCGCAAGATTAGCTCCCAGCCTTACGCACCACCTGAGCGCGTTGGAATTCCTCCAGACCCAGTGACGTCACAAACAGAGCCTTCGCACCCCTGAGCCACGCTGCGACGCTGCCGGCGACTGATCGCATCCATTGCGTGCGGTCGTGTCTCACTCAGATTTGATTAGCTTGCTTTTGGCAAAAAGATTCACTTACAAAATTAGCGCGGTTCGCAACAGCTGCTCATCAATGGACAACTGAGCTCGACGCAAAATAACACGGCCCATTTGGAAGGCCACCAAGAGGGCAGCCACCGTTCCCGTCCGTTTCTAAACCGAGCCCCGGATGTTTATCACCGCCCCTATCCGCCGCCCCCCGCCAGCCGCCCGCCGCCAGCCGCCAGCCGCCCGCCGCCCGCCGCCCGCCGCCCGCCGCCAGCCGCCAGCAGCCAGCCGCCCGCCGCCAGCCGCCCCCCGCCAGCCGCCCGCCGCTAGCCGCCAGCCGCCCCGCCGCCAGCAGCCAGCAGCCAGCAGCCAGCAGCCAGCAGCCAGCCGCCCGCCGCCAGCGGCCCCCCGCCAGCCGCCCGCCGCCAGCCGCCAGCCGCCAGCAGCCAGCAGCCAGCCGCCCGCCGCCCGTCGCCAGCCGCCAGCCGCCAGCCGCCGCCCGCCGTGTTTCACTGCGAGACGACGCGTCGGCGCCGCGCCATTTCGAGGCCCCTGGACCACGGTCATTGCACCATCCTTTTTGCAATCCCATTGACACCGCGCGCGTGAAACACGCACCGGCATCATCTCTGGGGGTGGGGGAGGGGGAGGAGGATGGGGGAGGGGTCAGCCCGATCTCGGCCTGGCATCGGACTGCTCTCACCATCGGCTATCAATACTGCTGCCTCCCAGATCGGGGCCATGGCTGAGGCCGGGAAACAGACGGCGGCGACGGCGGCGGCGGCGGAGGCCTATTTCTGTCCTCTGAAGTGAGTCCTGTTTTTGTGCGTCCTGCTGCGCGTTCCCAGGAGCCGAGACGGCCTCCTCGAAAGAATCAAATATAGGCCTCTAGGAAGACAAGCCCAGTCCCGGCCGCGCGAGCTCAGCATTTTGATTGGTTGGTTATTTAGGTTTTGGGCCCATCGACCGCACGGTCACGCAGCGCCCAGATCCCAGGATCAAAGGAAGCCACATCATCGCGTTGTGTCATCGTCACTGAGGCCTTGCGACGCACTCAGCAGCTGAGGCTGCGTGGCGTCGCCGGCCTCTCACCCCGGCGGCGAGGGCGGTCGCCGCGGGGCATCGAGCCCCGCGCCGCCGGTCGGACCACGGCCCGACCTGGACGGGGATACGGCCGGTGCTGTCGTGTGGACGGTGCCCGCCGGCGCGTCGACCTGAACGAGAGGTCGGGACAGCGCGTGCGCTCCCACTTTCGGGCAAGAATGGCATGTTCACAGTGAATGGAATGGTCAGATGCGGCGACGATGAGGTGCACCATCGCAGCTCTCCAGACATAGGCGAAAGGAACGTCTCAGAAAGTCGGGTGCCAAACCCATTCTCAAGTCGACTGCTTCCACGCGTCGCTGCGGGGTCAACGTCCCGCTTTCTCAGAAAGCAGGGTCGGCACGGCACCCACGGGTCCCCGTCCCCACGCCTATGGTGGCGTGGTTACCTCGCCGCTGGTAACCGCCCGGGGGCGGTCGATACGGACAGCTGGTCGGCCGAGGCAGCGGGTGCTCCTCTCGGCAGCCCGGGCGCCTCACTGACCTTGGTAGCTGTGCTGGGGGTTGTCGATGATGCGGATCGCCCTGTCAGGAATCACGGGAGCGCCGAACTCGTCGCCGACGTCCTCCTGAGGACAGCGCAGGGGAGGGCAGTCAGCGGCGGGGTCGAGGGTCGGCGTGCTGCGGCGGCGGCGGTGCTGCTGGCCGGGCGGAGCCGCGGGACGTGATGGCCGGGCGGTAATCACGGGCTAGCGCGGTGGAGGCCGAACCCAGCACGCCCCAACAGAGCCCAGTCCGGACCCACGACCCGGGCCGCCACCAACACGACTCAAAGCGCCGCTCAAAACGCATCGCCGCGGCCGGGACCGGCGCCCGGATCAGCCGCGCCGAATTTGTCATCGGCATTGACCTTTCCGTGCGCTGACCAATGGCCGTCGCTGGCCGGTGGCCGGGCCCCGCCGGGTCGGCCCGGCCCGGCCCGGCAGCTGACTCGGGTCGATGTGACCTCGACTCGGCTGCACTGCTATCAGATCAGTGCACTGGCTCGCCGCGCCGCTCGCGCCGAGCCGGACGCTAGCAGCAGCCCGCGCGGTGCACGCAAATGCGCGAGGCGTGGTGCACTGCTGAGTACTCTCCGGAGCGAGACGAGGGGTCTGCTCGCGGCGCAACAGCAGTCCTCCATTCTACGTGATGTCAGGCACAGCCTTTGCAGGACGTGTTCCCAGCGCGAAACGTTGTCTGGTTATATCTTCGTGACCTTCGTGACAATAAATGCACATGCGAGATACCTTCATCCACCTTTGCAGCGCCCCTATAGATGGAAACGGTAAATTATGCTGTTGTAAAACACATTTTAATTACTCGTGGTTGGTCCTGGATGCGCAAATTGCCATGCATTTAATTGACTCTGTTGCACCATTTCTGTATCACTTCCATCCAGAAGCGGAACAATATTCTGTGCGCTCGGCAAACATTATTCATGACGTCACGCAACATCTTTATCATCCAGATTGCTGCACACACCAAAAGGCGCGGAATCCATAGGGCATAACGCCATAAATGACGTTAACGGCACAGATTCTTTGTCGTCCGGGTCGCCGCGAACGCGCCCGAACTGTCCCGCTCGGTTTGCTCGTGACGTCACAGCGTGTCGAGACGCGGGACACCAGTGCTCAGGCAGGAGCCGACCGCGAGCTCCGACCATCCCGTGCTGCTGTTGAGGCAAATTAGCCGTCTTCTGACATCTAGTGGGAAAAGTTCGTTGACGGGAGCTCGCCAGCCCGCAGACAGAACGCGCACCGCCCGCCCCATGCGTCTATAACAAAAGTGATCGCCGAAAGTGATCGGAATATTTTCCTCCAGTCCTCCAGGAGATGGGCACCACCATAGTTTAGAGTACAAGCAAACGACAGTTACTGGACTTGGACAGGGTGCTGGTTCCGTGGCTCATTCGTGTCTGCGGAGCCCAGCCGGCGGCCATGTCCGGTCCCCATCCTGCAGCAGCGCCGAACAGAAGGCAGCCATTTCACTAGTCAAGGACAACAGCGTTCAACTCCGGTATTCACCACCAATTAGGCGGGGATTTGTACGCGAACCAGGCTGCGTGCCATTCGGAACATATCTTGACTCAGTCCGGCCTTCGGGAGGCGCCGGCTGTTTGAACACCTGGAACCGCGGCCTGTCCGGACCTCCAGCGGCGCAGTCTGCCCCAACTGTCCGGACCTCCAGAAGCGCAGTCCGCCCTAACTGTCCGGACCTCCAGCGGCGCAGTCCGCCCCAACTGTCCGGACCTCCAGCAGCGCAGTCCGCCCCAACTCCCAACAGTTTGGACATGTTTGGTCGGACGTCACGTCACGTCCGCTGATGGGGCGGTGCTCACAAGCCTAGGCCTGCGTCCAGCCCGCCATCAGACAACACAGACAACACAGATATGGGCGCTGCATGACAAGTCAGCAGTCGATGCCCCCTAAAACCCCAATTCATCATCCTCATCATCATCAGACAACACAGACCGCTGATGGTGCGTCAGCCATTACCGAGCTTAAGTTCTTTTCCAGTTATCAGACGTCATGTGCCGTTGATGGTCCATCAGCCATCATCCGGCCCCTGGTCCGTCCAGTATCAGGTGTCACCGTCCACTGATGTCCCATCAGTCAACAGACCCCTGGTCCCTCCACTATCAAACGTCAGTTGCCATTGTGGAGCACGTCGGCTACTAAGGCCATTTGGTACCATCGGACGCCACCGTCCACTAATGGCCCATCAGTCATCCGACCACTGGTCCCTCCACTATCAAACGTCAGTTGCCATTATGGAGCACGTCGGCTACTAAGGAAATTTGGCACCATCGGACGCCACCGTCCACTAATGGCCCATCAGTCATCAGACCCCTGGTCCGTCCACTATCGCACGTCACAGCCCACTGATGGCACATCAGCCATTACAAGCCCACGTACCACCGCTTTTCCGCCCCCCGGTCGTTTGCCGCCTCATTTAGAGGCCCAGCCGACCATAGCCGCCAGCGAAGCGGAGAAAGAGAAAACGATGCTGCTAAGCGTCGCATATCACCAGGTGAGACTAGCGCGGCAAAGTTGACGTGTGCCGCAGGCGGCGTCCGGGTCCTGAAAAACATCGCACGTCATTTTACGACAGAATCATTTCAGCACTCTAATGGTCAGTGGAAGCGCTAGGTTTCCTGTCAATACCATTCCGTCCCAAAGATCGCTTTATTTTCGTCAAAAGCGACGCAATTTCATCATCTAATCGTCTCGTGACAGATAATCGATCGGCGCGCGGCGGCTTACACGGTCCTCCAGTCCGCTGTAGTCGCTCGCACAAGCTCCCACGCCACGTAATATCGTGACCGACGTCCGTCCCAGCCGGCGCGCCTGCCCGAGTGGGCACCTGCCCGCACTCGGGCAGGCGCGCAGACGGTGAAGACCGCGCGCGTAACGCGCAACACACGTCACATGTGACAAAGATCGACAAAAACCAACGTCGCATGTCGAGCCAGACATCACAGCGAGGAGAGCACCCTTCCATTCGAAGTCTTCGCTTCGAAAACTTGACCTCGCCCACCGCATTGACGTCACCGACGTCCACGTAACGCCGGCGCCTGGGTGACGTCACAGCTGGCTGTGTGACGCCACCGCTCGAGGCCCAGCGGCGCTGTTTTGACGCGGGGAGTGCCAGTCACCCGACGGAGTCCACAGCGGCGCGGATCGATACCGGAGGCAAAAGAGGCGCGGCCGCGCCGGCTGACGCGGCGCTGACGCGGCCGGGCGCGCGGCGCGTCGATTTCGCCGCCGTCGCCGCGACCGGTGTGAAAGGCGGCGACGCTAATGACGCTAGACGCCACGTGCGTCTCCTATTCACGTCTGTTACGCTTTTTTCTTTGTTCGTTTTAATATTGCCTTGTTTGGTGAGCGCGGTGCACATATGCACGCACCGTTCTGTGGACCAACAACAGCTCGGGTGACCATGTTGGCACCAACGGACCATTGCGTCCAGCCGGATTCGAGCCCAGGCCGGCGCGTGTGAAACAGCGAGCGTGTTCGACCTCACGATATCCTGCTGATACTATTCTAGAGCATGCTCGGGAGAAGCCGGTGCATGCATAATATATGCAACACCATGAATGACAGATGACACTGAAGCGTGGGAGGCCATAACGCCAGTTCGCGGCCAGTGGGAGAGGCCGCTCGAGGTCTGGTGAGGTTGGCCACGTCCGCTCAAGGTCAGATGAGGTCAGCCACGGCCGCCTAAGGTCAGACGAGGTCAGCCACGTCCGCTCAAGGTCAGACGAGGTCAGCCACGGCCGCTCAAGGTCATATGAGGTCAGCCACGGCCGCTCAAGGTCAGGCGAGGTCAGTGGACGGGGCAGGTCATCACAGCACATTACAATTTTTCCACAAAATAACGCCGTTGAGCCGCAATTTCACGGCCGGGTGGTGGGGTCAAGACACACAATGCCGTCTAGCATCAGCTCGCCCAAAATCCACTTCATCGAAAAAAAACAAAAAACACAAAAAACGGATTAATTATTAACGACCTACCCAACGGCAAAACGCGTCAATATATTCAGATGTACCTCGTGAACCAGTTTCATGCAAGGGCGAGACAGGCGGCGCTTGAACGGCCGACTACGGCATCACACTGGCCAGTCAACGAATATAACAACCGTGTTGTATGCGAGGAAAACAACGCAACGCAATGGTCCAATGGGTTTCAAGTCAGCAGCGCTGTGAAATCGATGGGCCCAAGGCGTCCAGGTGATGGGTCAAAACATGCTGGCGCCTGCGGACCACTGCGTCCATCGGCACGGTGTCCCTTTTCTAAGGTTGTGGGGCGAACGGGTCGCTGCCATCCTCCTGCGATGTCCAATCCAAGCCAGACACATCCGGTGTGTGATGACGGCACAGAGCGCACCCACGACTCCGTGGACCGTCACCAACGGTGTTTGGTTTATCGTGAGGCCCCGCTCTCACGAAACAACGTCACGTTGCGCACGACACGCTGTCCTGGCGTGAACAAAGATAACTCCGCTGTCCAGAACAAAGATAACTCCGCTGTCCTGAACGGAAATCACTCCGCTGTCCTGAACAAAGATAACTCCGCTGTCCTGAACAAAGATGACCCCGCCACCGGCTCCACCTGGTTGCCACTGCAGAGACGTCAGGTAGGCTCTCATTCCAGTCCCTCGCCTGTCAGCATTGTGTGTCATTGAAGCTTTACGACGCACTCAGCTGCTGAGGCTATATGGCGTCGCCTGCCTCTCACCCTGGCAGGAAGGGCGGGCACCGCGGGAACCGAAGCCCGTATCTCCGGTTTCCCAGACGCGCAGTGATTAACGCAGACGAGGTAACCACTACACTACCGGCACCCTTGTCAACGCTGTGCATCAGGATCAATCTGGTCAGGCCAGGTCAGGCCAGGTCAGGTCAGGTCAGTCGGCTCCGGGGACGCAGCTCCGCTGAGGTATTGCATACACACCTTCCCCTCTTGACGGCGACGATCCTATCGTGGGCACAGAGTACCCCCCCCCCCCCACCTCTTCAGCTTACCCCCCCCCCCCCCATCAGAGTACCAGGTTGGCCCTGGCCCGGTTGGTTATATCCAGGGACGTAAG